CCCAAGTAGCTGGGACTACAGGCGCCCGCCACGACCACTGGCTGTTTTTTTTGTTGCAGTTGTTGTCCTTGCTTTAGCTGGCCAGGACCAGGTTCGAACCCACCAATTTCAGTGTATGTGACCAGCACCCTACCCACTGAGCTACGGGCCCCACCTCTCTATTTTTTTCTTTGCTAGATCTCCTACCATACCTTAACCCAGCTCAGGAACAACTAACCAAAACTTGTCACTATGGAGTCAGATCAGAGGATACAGGTCAAGGAGGAGGAATGTTCTAGAATAGAACCAAGTTTCTCATTTTATGCCTCCAGCATCAGAAAACTCTTATTTTTGCAGATCTAAACCATTAGAGCTTGGGAGAAGCCTCTCAAACCTATTCTAAATATGGCCAGACCACCCTTCCCCCATCCTTTAGATCTGATTGGTTGCAGAGATGAGCTTCAAAGCCAAAAGACTGCACTGGGTCAGGCAGACCCTTGTGAGTTCTGAGAGCAGAGATAGATAAAGCAGTGGGAGGGGAGACAATAGGAAGACAGAGAATTGAGTTGCCAGGGCCTGGCAGAAGTGGAGCTACCTGGGCTGCGGACTTTGACCTTTACCAAATCACTTTTCCTTCTGCTTCCTTAGCTCTCTCTTTATGAAACGAAAACAGTAATTTTCATTTACCTGTCTCACAAGGTGATTAGGTGGATCAAATATGAAAGTGCTTTGTGAAGTGTGAAACAGATAAACTGCTTAGATGAAATGTATCATAATTTACATTTATTCAACTACAGAGCACCTATTTCATGGCATCCACTGCTATGCATACGGAGAAACATAAAGAATAAGAAATTGTTTTATCTTTTAATGTACTCAAAAGCTAGAGGGTATGTTTAGGAAAATGGTCAGGATGGGACCTTCAGTGAACCTGAAGACTTGAAAATAGAAGCGACTGGCTCGGTGCCTGTGGCTCAAGTGGCTAAGGCGCCAGCCACATACACCCAAGGTGGTGAGTTCCAATCCAGCCCTGCCCACCAAACAACAATGACGGCTGCAACCAAAAAATAGCCAGGCATTGTGGCGGGCGCCTGTGGTCCCAGCTACTTGGGAGGCAGAGGCAGAAGACTCGCTTGAGCCCCGAAGCTGGAGGTTGCTGTGAGCTGAGATGCCACAGCACTCTACCCAGGGGGACAGCTTGAGGCTCCTGTCTCAAAAAAAAAAAAAAAAAGAAAAGAAAATAGAAGCGACCAAAAGAAGGCTGTGGCCAGGCTATTGAAAGGTGGTCTGGATAGAGTGGCCGAGGGACAATAACCATCTCACGATGCCTCGATTTGGTAGGTGTGCCCCAAACTTTCCTTCCACTGTGTGTGTCACCCAAGGCTGAAGCAGCTCAAATGCTCCATGAGGGGGAGGAAGCTGTGGGATGATGGGGAGGGTTCCCACAAAGATGAAGCCTTGTCAGCCATTCTCCAGCACCGGAAACCACAGGAAACCAGGTCAGTGCAGGGGGGCCTACTCCCTCTGCTCCAGGGCTCAGCTATGAGCTCTGGGGTTTCCTGAGCCTGCTGTACTGATTAGTGGGTTCTTTTTTTTTTTTTTTTTTTTTTTGAGACGGAGCCTCAAGCTATCCCCCTGGGTAGAGTGCCATGGCATCATGCTCACAGCAACCTCCAACTCCTGGGCTCAAGTGAGTCTCCTGCCTCAGCCTCCCAAGTAGCTGGGACCACAGGCGCCCGCCACAACGCCCGGCCATTTTTTTGGTTGCAGCTGTCATTGTTGTTTGGCGGGCCCGGGCTGGGGATTTGAACCCGCCACCTTAGGTGTATGTGGCTGGCGCCCTAGTTGCTTGAGCCACAGGCGCCGAGCCGATTAGTGGGTTCTTGAAGCCGGAGGTCTCTGCCTTTTGCCCCAAAGAGTTGGAACCAGATAATGGGTAGAAAGACGCGGGATACAGTCATGAGAGTCAACTAAGTGGGGAGCCAGGCTATGGAGCATATCAGGTTCATGTGCATCCTATAGTGCCTTCTAAAATTTTTTTCCAGGTGCCTGGTGGGGTGGCTCATGCCTGTAAACCCAGCACTCTGGGAGGCCAAGGTGGGTGAATTGCTTGAGCTCATGAGTTAGAGACCAGTCTGAGCCGGAGAGAGACCTCATCTCTAAGGCGTTGTGGCAGGCATCTGTAGTCCCCGCTACTCGGGAAGCTAAGGCAAGAGAATCACTTAAACTCAAGAGTTTGAAGTTGCCATGAGCTTTGACGCTACAGCACTCTACCAAGGGTGACAAGGTGAGACTCTGTCTCAGAAAATAAATAAATACATAAATAAATAAAAATTTTTTCCAACTCTAAATGATGCCTCAGTCACCTCTGTATCTGCAGCAGAGTAATGCCTAATGGCACTGTTAATTCTCTAAGTGATGGGGTGGAGCGCATGTCCATGGGAGATCCAAGTTTGAGTGTGTTGAGGGGCAGGTCAGATGTGCAGGGTGTTTCAGGAGTAGGAGGCGTCACTAAATAGTGCAGTCCCTTACTTGGTACTGCACCCTTTCCTGCGACTTCTCTGCCATCACAGGAACCCCTTGTCTTTCAGGTGGGGGTAGAAGGGTTCTCTGGGGGACAAGCCTCCCTCAGTCCCTCCACTTGGAAGGGAAGGAATGTGGCCTGGCTGGCTGGTTAGGATTGAGGAGGAGCTTCAGGGCAGGGCGGGGCTGAGGCAGGCAGAGGCAAAGGCTCTGGCTGGTACAGTGTTCCCTGCTACCGCACAGCAAGGCCCTGCCACCCACCTTCAGGCTGTGCAGCCATGTTCTGGGCATCCTGATCACATGGGAGCCCATGGGGCACCCCAGGTCCGCAGCCCTGCTCCTGGTGCTCGTCGGCCTCTCTGCCTCTGCTGGGACTGGCTGTTCCCACCTGCCTTGCTGGAGAACCCGCTGTCTGCTGGCCTTCCACATGGTAAGGTGCTGCCGCCAGGTAGGGACGTCTGCCTCCCTCACACAGGCATAGGACTCCCCAGTCCCCTGCCTGCCTCTGCAACCTCCCAGTCCCTGTGCTCTGGTGGCAGTCTCGGGGTGTCCTCTAATAATCTCAGAGAGGTAGCCAAGGTCCTGGTGTGCTGAGGGCCTGGGCTGAGTGGAGCTGGAAGAAAAGGGCCAGAGTGGATGAACTATGGACCTCAGAGTTAGGTGGTTTGAGGCAAAGAGCCCAGGTAGAATGCCCCTTATGGAGGTCTGCACTAATAATACCTCTCTCCTCTCTTTTCCCTACTGGGTCCTGTGCCTTCAGGATGACAGTTTCATTGGTGAGTCTCATTTTCTGCTCCACTTCTCTTCTCCACATCCCCATTTGTTCCAGAACCCCAGATTCTAACATTTGGGTCCCAACCTGGGAAGAAGCACAGTATCAATGAAAAAGTGTTAATACAAGTTTGGAATTAGGACAAGCCTGTATTTGCATCTCAGTTCTGCCACAGGCTCCTGTGCAGCCCGAGACAGGGTACTTAATCCCTCCAACGGACTCCACACTTCTGAGGAGCATAGCAGCATAGCAGAAATGATTGCACAATGGAGACAGTGTTGCTTCTGATGTCTAGGGAGACTAAATGAGAGACACGTGTAAATGTCTCCATAACACTGGTTCACTGGTCACTCAGTCCTATCAGTAATACAGCAATAATCCCTCATATTCTATTCCCTATTTTCCACACCTTACCTTCCTTGATTTTTACGACAGCCCCACTTTATAAATGAAGAATCTGGCACTCAAAGAGGTCCCGTAACTTGCCCAAGGTCACACTTCCAGGATGTAAGTGGCAGAGCTCAGCCTCAACTTCAACTTGTCTGAGACAGAAAGGACCTCTTTAGACCCTATTATTTGCTTTCCTTTCTGTTTTTCACAGGAGGTTCTGCCCATATTCCTTGGTGTACCCAGCGGGCGCTCCTCCCCTATGCTTGGCGTTCCTGCTCTTTGTGCCTGGGTCTGATGTCAGATCCCCCAGGTATGATAAATAGTCCTTTGGGCCATTCTCAGTGAAGATATGAATTAGGGACATTGGTGTGGGGGGGGCACCTAGGTTGAATCAAGTGGGGGTTGTCATATTAAACAGATATTTATCCTATTTTACCCTCAACAGGGACTTTAAAGCAACCTAAAATAGCACACCATGACTGATATTCATGAGTGCGATTGTATGACTTTATGAAGAAGCTAATCTTTTCAGCTGATATTCTTGGAATTAGAAGTTTTGATTCTAAGGAAATTGGGTATTTTGAGACAAAAAGTCTACCATTTTTCTTCCTTTGCCAGCAAAGTAATCAATTTCCCTTTTCTTCGTCTCAAACCACTTTTTCTGATTTTTCTGATCTGGTTTTGAGGACAAGTCCTGAGCTTTTGCTACCAGATTTTGGCATTCCCTGGGCGGGCTCATTCGTGACCCAGTGGAATGGCACCCTGCAACTGCTGGAAGAGGTGGGGAGCAGCCCCAGGTCAGAGCCGTGGGTCTTCACTGGAAGGAGAGGCTTCTTTTCAGCGCAAGAGAGTATAGGACAGTCCCAGCAGCTACTAGGGTATGTTTGAGCTCCAGGGAACTCTCTTCTCTGTCTCCCTGAAGTAGAGGCAGGTCCCCACAACCGGAACTGAGTTGAGGAGAAGAAAATGGGTTTGGAAAGGGCCCAGATGCCAGGCCTTTTTGTTGGGTAAGTTCCTGCAAGGGTGCACCCTGAGATTCTTGCTCCCACTCATTTTGGGAGGTTTTCAAACTTCCATTTGTTTGGGGCACCAGTTTGGGAGAGGGAGGAATGAAATTGAGTGGAATGTTGGGGACCTGGTTTTGATTGAGCTCATTTGTGGTTCCTAAGGAATGGCAGGGACTAGGCCGCTATTTGGGAAGGGTTTGCCTTCCAGCCCTTTTAGGCATTTGGGGCAGTTCTGCCACAGGCTCCTGTGCAGCCTGAGACAGGGTACTTAATCCCTCCAACGGACTCCACACTTCTGAGGAGCATAGCAGCATAGTAGAAATGATTGCACAATGGAGACAGTGTTGCTTCTGATGTCTAGGGAAATTAAATGAGAGACATGTGTAAATGTCTCCATAACACTGGTTCACTGGTCACTCAGTCCTATCAGTAATACAGCAATAATCCTTCATATTCGAGGTGCCATTTGGGGTGGCATTTATTCTCCATGAATTTCCATTTGTTTGATAGGTTTGGCATTTTGTGTTGAAAATTCTCTGTATTTTATGTGTTTGTTATTTGTGAGTTTTGTTACAACATAGACAAGTATTTTAGGAAAAATTTTGGCTGAACAGTCAACTTATAGCTGGGAACCTATGTCTAAGAATGGTTTTGTAGTAATCCAATATATGTGCTGGGATGTGAGGAGAAGTAGCTGCTGAATAAAATCTTGAATTATACTGTCAAAAAAAGTTTTGCTGGCTCGGTGCCTGTGACTCAAGTGGCAAGGCTCCAGCCACATACACCTAAGGTGGCGGGTTCGAATCTAGCCCAGGCCGGCCAAACAACAATGACGGCTGCAACCAAAAAATAGCCAGGCGTTGTGGCAGGTGCTTGTGGTCCCAGCTACTTGGGAAACTGACGCAGTAGACTCGCTTGAGCCCAGGAGTTGGAGGTTGCTGTGAGCTGTGATGCCACACCACGGCACTCTACCCAGGGGGACAGCTTGAGGCTTGGTCTCAAAAAAAAAAAAAAAAAGTTTTGCTTTCTATACACTTTTTGTTATTGCCTTCTTTTTTAAAAGTAGAATCTCTTTTGTTATTCAACTCTATATTTTCATTGCCTAGCTCAGTGTCTGCTGCATACTGAATGCCCACACACTGCTTAAGATTTGGCAGTTTTTAATTTTTCTAAATTTGTACTGGTAGAAATAATGTTATAGTGAACAACTTTATGTATGTACCTTTTTGTCTAATTAAGAAATTAATCCTTTTAAAATTTGCATCATGCTGGCTCGGCACCTGTGGCTCAAGTGGCTAAGGCACCAGCCACATACACCGAAGGTGGCAGGTTCGAACCTGGCCTGAGCCAGCTAAACAACTGCAACAAAAAAAATAGCCAGGCATTGTGGTGGGTGCCTGTAGTCCCAGCTACTTGAGAAGCTGAGGCAAGAGGATCTCTTAAGCCCAAGAGTTTGAGGTTGCTGTGAGCTGTGATGCCATGACACTCTACTCAGGGCAACAAAGTGAGACTTTGTCTCAATAAATAAATAAATAAATAAATAAATAAATAAATAAAATAAAATGACTTACTATCTAACATTGGGCCAAATCTCCAGGTAGGGGAGGGGCAGTGAAGGGCTAGATAGTAAGTGTGTCCCTCCCCTGTGCAGGCCTTCAGTGGAGCGGCTTCCACCTCCTGGTGAAGAAATCAAAAAAGTCTTCCAAGTTCAAGCTCTATAGGAGACACAAGATATCAGCATCTGCTCAGGTACTCTGCTGGCCAGTTCCAGCCCTACCCTATGCCCCATAGCTCTTTTCTTCCTGGCCTCTCATTTTGCTCTCCAGCCATGTGAGTGAGATGAAAGTGTGGAGATGAAGTAGACCATTCTCTCCATTACACAGTTAGGAAAACTGAGGGTGAAAGTGGTTGAGCAAATTGTTGGTGGTACCTCAGGTTCCAGAGGTGGAAACAGAAGCCACATTTCCTGACTCCTGCCCTCAGGCCAACCTTGTTCTCTGCTTCTACAGAGGAAGCTGCTGGGCAGCCATCGCCTGTCTGAGAAGGGCCATCACGTTTCCATCCCCTCCCCAGACATCTCCCACAAGGGGCTGCGCTCCAAAAGGACCCAACCTTCAGATCCAGAGGCAGTGGAAAGTCACCCCGGACTGAACTCACAAAGGCATCGAGGTGGGCGTAGGGTAGGACAGGAGATGGGTTCAGCTGCGTAGTGGTACTTGTGCTAAGGCCAAGAGACAAGGCCCCTGAGTCCCTCCTCTCTCCAGGGCCCGAGTTCTCCTTTGATTTGCTGCCTGAGGCACGGGCTATTCGGGTGACCATTCCTCCAGGCCCTGAGGTCAGCATGCGTCTTTGTCACCAGTGGGCACTGGAGTGCGAAGACCTGAGCAGTCCCTTTGATGCCCAGGTATGAACTGTCATTCCCTGTAAAAAGCCAGATCACTCAGTGCTAGAGCAAGAAGTCCATTCACTGTACAAATGGGGAGACTGAGGCCCAGGGAGAGAACTCGATTGTCCAAGGCCTCCTTATAAGCTGAAGTGGCCTGTATTAAGGCCTCTTTGGTTGTCTTTATATTTATTTTTATTTAAGTAATTTATTTATTTATTTATTTTGTTTTGTGTACATTAATGCAATCATGAGGTACAATGTGCTAGTTTTACACACAATCTGAAATGCTTTCATCAACTGGTCAGCATAGTCTTCACGGCATTTTCTTAGTTATTGTGTTAAGACATTTATATTCTACACCTAGTAAATTTCACATGTACCCTTGTAAGATGCACTGTAGGTGTGGTTCCACCAACTACTCTCCCTCTACCCATCCTCCCACCTCCCCTCTTATTTTATTTATTTACTTATTTATTTATTTATCGTTTTGAGACAGAGTCTCACTATGTCACTCTTGGTAGAGTTCCGTGGCGTCACAGCTCACAGCAACCTCCAATTCTTGGGCTTAAGCAATTCTCTTGCCTCAGCCTCCCAAGCAGCTGGGACTACAGGCTCGCGCCACTGTGCCCAGCTACTTTTTGTATTTTTAGTAGAGAGATGGGGTCTGCTCTTGCTCAGGCTGGTCTTGAACTCCTGAGTTCAAGTGATCCACCTGCCTAGGCCTCCCAGAGTGCTAGGATTATAGGTGGGAGCCACCACACCTGGCCAAGTCTTCTTTGGACAAGACAGAAAAGGCAGGGAGCCTCATCATGTGGGAAGAAAGGAAGGAAAAGGACAGGCAGACACCTGGATCCACCGTGAATGATGAGCAAAGAAATGAATATGGTATTTGCCCCCTGTGAGAGGACCCTCAATGGGATTCCAGGTGCATTAAAAAGCTTTTTCGGTTCCCCCAAGAGGTTGTTCCCTCTGAGAACATATCAGGGTGGTCTTATCTGTCTTGGTACCCTTCCAGCTCCTTCCCTTTGTCCCTCAAAGAATCAGATGTCCTCCTTTCTCCCAGCCCAGGCCCTAACCTCCCAATCTCAACCTCTACGTGTCACAGGTGCAACCATATACAGTTGGTACCATTTGCAGGAGTGGCTGCTGCTCCCCTGAGGCCCTCAGCTCTCTTCATTTATATAAGATGGTACCTCACAAGATCACTGTGATGCTAGCATTAAATTGAATGAGTTAATGCTTCTAGCACCCAGTACCCTGCCCTGCATAGAGTAGGAGCTCAATAAGTGAATATTCCTTTCCCTATTTCCTCTTCTTCTTTCCCTCTCCACCTGCAGACTACAGAGCAGAGACTCTGGGAAAGGAAATTTGTTGGTGGAAAAAATAAGTCCATGTAAAAAAGAAGAATGGGGTGTGTTGGCCAAGGTCCCAGCTCCCTCTTGCCCTTGTCCACGGTGCCAATGCTCTTTTTCAAGCATCTCTTGTCTCTCTCTGCTGCCATCAACAGAAAATCGTGTCTGGGGGCCACACTGCGGAACTGCCTTATGAGTTCCTTCTGCCCTGTCTGTGCATAGAGGTGAGCAGAGGAAAAGGTGTGGGTTGTCCTTGGCTCTGCTCCTAGGCCCCCCAGGTAGCACAGTTGGTCAAGCCTTTCTCCAGTAAAAGGAAGTCGGATTTTAAATGGACTGGGTGTTCCTGAGATGCTTAGGAAGCCTGGTGCCAGGAGGTGGAAGGTCCGAACTCAGCCCTATCAAAACCCAGCTTTCCCTGGCCCAGACTTGGCCTCAGGCCACAAAGCCAGAACAGACAGCAACCATCACTGTGTGTTCTGAGGAGTCAAAGCAGGGGTGTGGGCATGGCCATTGCAAGGTTCCAAATGCCCCCCAAAGTCTTGTCCCTTCTAGGCCCCTGTGGCAGTCTTCCTCCTTTACAAGCAGTCTTTACAAGACTGAGGCACCAAAAGGAGGATGCAGGCAGAGATCTGGAGCCATTAGCAACTGCCAGGGTGGACAAGAATTGGGCATCTAGACAGTCCAGAATGAGGAGCCAACCCAGGGAGCTGGACACCTTGGCAATGGCTGAGAGTGGAGGGCAGAGAAGGTCAACACTGAGGAATGTAGATCTCATGATTTCCCTCCTGCTGGAGGTAGGTCTCTCCAGAGAGAGGAGTCAGCCGCTCACTAGCTGATCTCTGTCCTGAACGCTGGAGCTCCTCCCCACCCTTGCCCACCCCCCACATTGCCCTCCCCAGTGCCAGCATAGGCAGCTTGCATCGCAGTAAGGAAAACCAGAATGAGTTTCAGGTCTGAGTGAGATAGGAAAAGCCAGTCCGCTGACCCCCCAGCCCTGCACCCACTCCCCTGTACCCCTCTCTTCAGGCTTCCTACCTGCAAGAAGACACCGTGAGGCATAAAATATGTCCCTTCCAGAGCTGGCCTGAAGCTTGTAAGTGCTCATATGCTCTCTCGTGCACACATACCTTTCCTCTGTCTCTGACTCTCTCCTCTGTCTCTGACTCTCTCCCCGCTCTCTGACACACATACACACTTCACACCTGTGTTGAAGGACACTCCCAGGAGGCATGCATGCACTTCCTGGAGTCAGTGGGGCCAGGGGGAGTGCTGCCTGTCTACCAATCAGCCTGCCAGTAAATCAGAGAGGGCTGAGTACTGTAGCACTGTGAGAGTTCAGAAATACGGGGTCCAGGGGTGGTGTCCTAGGAGGATGTGCCAGAAGACCTGAGGCCATATCTCAGCTCTGCTAATTATTGTTCTCAGAGCTTCCCTCCCTCACCTGTAAAATAATGCCTGTCCTATCTTTTAAGCTGTTTGTGAGGCTTGAATTAAATATGACATAGGAAAGTGGTCAATGACGTCTAAAGTGCTATATACCCAGAAGAGACAGGAAACTCAGTCGCAACAAGTGAAGGGTACAAAGTGGCCTTCAGTAGGCACAGGGCAGGGTTATAACTAAGGGCGAGGCTGGAGGGCATGAATGCAGGAAAGGGAGAAGCCTGGGAAAGCTGCAGTGAGCAGGGAGTCTCTGTAATGGGCAGGACTTAAAAAGGAGAGAGGGGAGAAGTCATACCTACTTCCGAAAGGAGCTTCTGGGAGAGCAAAGAAGCTGACCAGAATGGAGGCCTGGGAAGAAGAGGAGATAGCTGGATAGAATGGTAATCAAAGGGGATGGAGAAGGGATGCTCATTTATTACCTATTCTGGCCAGGAACCACGCTCGGCACTTTCACAAATGTCATCTCCAACTGCCATGGGGGTGTGGGCAGCAAGGTGACCCTGAGGCAGGGCTAAGGCCTCACTCACTGACCCTGACACTTGTCCAGATGGCTCCGACTTCTGGAAGTCAGTGCATTTTACTGACTACAGCCAGCACAATCAGATGGTCATGGCCTTGACACTCCGATGTCCACTGAAGCTGGAGGCCTCCCTTTGCCAGAAACAGGACTGGCACACCCCCTGTGAAGACCTCCCCAATGCCACAGCTCAAGAGTCAGAGGGGGTGAGGACAGCACCCCCTGGACTGGGATGGGCTGGTCTGGGGCCCAGAGTTTTTCTCCCTAACTTTCCTCTCTCCCTAAGTGGTACATTTTGGAGAAGGTGGACTTGCACCCCCAGCTCTGCTTCAAGGTACAATGGGTGAGAAGGGGATGGTGAGGGGAGTGGGTGTTGCCTGGAGCTTGCTGACTTGCTACCCCTGTATTTCCCAGTTCTCTTTTGGAAACAGCAGCCACGTTGAATGCCCCCAGCAGACTGGTGAGCCAATAAGTGATCTAGGCTGAGATTCCCTGCCCCCATTTTACCCTTAGGTAACTGTGACCAACTCTAGCCCAGCCCTGAGTTTCTGGTCAACTGCAGCCCAGCTCCTATCACATGACCCCCATATACAGGGTCTCTCATGTCCTGGAAAGTGAGTATGGATACCCAGGCCCAGCAGCTGATCCTTCACTTCTCCTCGAGGATACATGCCACCTTCAGTGCTGCCTGGAGCCACCCAGGCTTGGGGCAGGACACCTTGGTGCCCCCTGTGTACAGCGTCAGCCAGGTATGGCCTAGCAAGGGCTTTACCCCCACTATGTCCTTTTGCTCAGACACAGCCTTTTCACCTCATTGAGACAGACCCTGGGCAGGTGTAGGCAAATAAATCCCTGATTTCTATTAACTGGTTAGTTTATTTATTTGATCAGCCTTGGTTCAGCTAGCTCCTCTGTCAGCTAGTGGGATCTCAGGGGAGCAGCTTCTAATCCTTTCAGTTTCTGAATTTATAGGAACAGAGGCAAGGGAGTGGCCCTCCCACACCCAGCTGTTCCCTAGCCTACCCTAACTGCTGCCACATTTTATATCAAAGCCTTTGCTTGATCTCAGCTTTCCTCTGCCAATACTCCTCTGCCTCCATAGGCACCCATGCTGTTCTGTCTCAGGAGGCAGAGCCCCTCAAAACTGAATTTGCCTTTGCACAATACTGTAAACTACTAACAGATTTGACTCTGTTATATGGACTAGGAACAGTACGAATAGCAGACTCTTTTCATTATATCTGATGTAAAAACCACAATTAAAAACACCCACAATATCACAGCACCAAGCTAAGCATGACTAGCTCTTTCCAGTTCTTTTTTAAGTGCTCATTTGCTGCTAACTTGTTTTGCATTCTGTGAGGAGTCCCAAGCAGACAGGCTATAGCAAACATTTAAGATTTAAGACCAAGTCATGCTTAAGATTTTTTTTTTTAAGAGATAGAGTCTCACTTTATCGCCCTCAGTAGAGTGCTGTGGTGTCATTGTTCACAGCAACCTCCAACTCCTGGGCTTGAGGCGATTCTCTTGCCTCAGCCTCTTGAGTAGCTGGGATTACAGGTGCCCACCACAATGCCTGGCTATTTTTTTTTGTTGCAGTTTGGCTAGGGCCAGGTTTGAACCCTCCACTCTTGGTATATGGGGCCAGTGCCCTACCCACTGAGCCACAGTCACTGCCCCATGCTTAAGGTTTTAAGACAAAGTCTTGGGATACCCTAAACTTGAGACCTAAATCCATTGACTTATTTCTTTCTGTGAGCTGAGAAAAGACTGCCTTCATGGACAACCGTGATTTGAGAGCCACTATATCACAAGCTGGAGGAAGAACGGGTTCTCAGGCAGGTGCCAGTTTGGGGGTAGGAGGTGAAAGATGTCCTTGACAGATGGAGACTGTGGTTAATTTCCTAACCAGCATTCAGAATACAGGGTGGACCCACATCCTGCCTGCAAACAGATGGCAATTAATTCTGTCCAATTCAGCATTCATTGATTAAGTGCCTACTCCATACCACCTATATTAGGCCCTGGAAGATACATGAAAACTATATAACACAGTCTCTGCCCTTTTTTTTTTTTGTCAGACAGAGCCTCAAGCTGTTCCCCTGGGTAGAGTGCCATGGCATTACAGCTCACAGCAACTCCTGGGCTCAAGCGAGTCTCTTGCCTCCGCCTCCCAAGTAGCTGGGACCACAGGCGCCCGCCACAACGCCCGGCTATTTTTTGGTTGCAGCCGTCATTGTTGTTTGGCGGGTCCGGGCCGGGGATTCGAACCCGCCACCTTAGGTGTACATGACTGGCGCCTTAGCCGGTTGAGCTATAGGAGCCGAGCCAACAGTCTCTGCCCTTAAGGACTTCAGTCTAACAGCTGCTACTAATAGATAAATATATATTGCAGTTTATCATAAAGAATGTTCACATGCACGTTCCCATTGATGCCCTCAATGACTCAGTAAATAGTTTATGATCCCCCCATACACAAATGAAGAAACTGAGGCGGGGGGGGGCGGCCGGCAGGCAACCTATTTCTCTGCAAAGACCACACAGCTAGGGGCTACAAAAGCAATAGTTAAGCCTGAACCTAGGTCTCCTGACTCCACTCCTTACCCTCTTTCCAGTGGACAAGATACCTCTTTAGTTGTGTAGCAGAGTGAAGAGAGGCAGCAGATTATTAGCCTCCCTGGTTTGTGAGCTGCTGGAGGCCAGAGACAGGGTCTGTGCCCGCTTTCTTTCATCAGGGCTGGGCACAGAGTAGGCACCTAGAGTCTCTTTGCTGACAAGTATCTGCTGACAGCAGGAGTTGAGATCTGGGAAAGATCCGTGGGGGCTGGAATGGCTGGGGAAGTGTTCCTGTCAGAGGTAGCACTGGGCCATAAGCCTGGGCAGGATGGAGCATGAGGAAAAACAGCAAAAACTCAGAGACTGGACAGAGCCAGATTTGTCTCCATGGGGAGAATCACTGTGCTCTTTATTCCTGCAGACCCAGGGCTCAAGCCCAGTGACACTAGACCTCATCATTCCCTTCCTGAGGCCAGGGGGCTGTGTTCTGGTAAGGAATCCTACCCTTACTTTGCATATAGACCCCTGGGATCTACTCCACTGGTGACTCATGTGAAAAATCCCATGATGTAAAAATGTTTGGTTTGGCCAGCTCAATGTTTGACCTTGGAATTAGACTGTGTACATATATAAAGCTGGATTTCTGTCTTCTCTTGAAAAATCAGAAATCCAGTGCTCTGTTTCTGCATTCTGGCACTGTGGCAATGGCCTGGGGCTCAGTGGTGTCTGGGTGTTTTAATCAAGGCCTGTGCTCCCTAGAGCCTCACAGCAGCCCTGGCCAACTTTATGAGTTTACTTGTTGAATTTGGCACTTGTCACACTTGAGTTTGTCACTCTTGACCTGTTCTGTGCCAGGGTGAGTGCTGGAGCACACAGCCTCCAGTTCTCATCCCACCCTATGCCTTATTCAACTCCTCCTGCAAGAAGGGGATGTCCTTGCTCACAGGGCTGGGGGGCTCTGTGTCCTTCAGGTATGGAGGTCAGATGTCCAGTTTGCCTGGAAGCAGCGCCTGTGTCCTGATGGTGAGTTCTTGTTGGGGAGAGGTGGCCAGAGAAAGGCTAGATACTGAGGAGCTGGGCTTGGCCTTATCTGTTTGACTCAGTCTCTCACAGACACCTGGGGCTCTTGATCCTGGCACTACTGGCCCTCACCACCCTACTGGCTGTTTTTCTGGTTCTCACCCTCTGGCGCCCGCTGTCAGGTAAGTTCACCTGAGGGTAACCCAGGGATTCAGACTAGGTCCTTGGCTAGTTGCCCCTTCACCCTTCACTGCCACTGCACCCAATCTCCGCCACCCAAAAGGGGAGCCTCAGGCACCTCCGTGCAAGTTGTCACGGAACAAAGACTCTGGGCAAGAGTGGCGGGCGAGGAAATCCAGCCTGCTGTGCCCTTACCAAGCCTGGTGCCCGGGCCCTTGCTCCGGAATTAGCCCACTACACCCCATGGGCTACAGGGCAAATAAGGGGAGGCACCTCTAGGCTACGGTGTAGGAGAGGTGAGGGCTGGGCTGTCCCTAGACCCCCACTCCATTCATCTGTTGCTCCCGCTCCAGGCCCGAGCCAAGCGCGGCCGGTGCTGCTTCTGCACGCTGCGGACTCCGAGGCGCAGAGGCGACTGGTGGGAGCTCTGGCCGAGCTGCTGCGGGCCGCGCTGGGCGGCGGACGCGACGTGATCGTGGACCTTTGGGAGGGGAGGCGCGTGGCGCGCCTAGGCCCGCTGCCGTGGCTCTGGGCGGCGCGGGCGCGCGTGACACGGGAGCAGGGCACGGTGCTGCTGCTGTGGAGCGGCGCCGGCCCCAACCCGGCCCGCGGCCCCGACGCCCGTGCCCTGCTCCGCGCCACCCCGCGCCCGCTGCTGCTCCTGGCTTACTTCAGCCGTCTCTGCGCCAAGGGCGACATCCCCCCGCCTCTGCGCGCCCTGCCGCGCTACCGTCTGCTGCGCGACCTGCCGCGCCTGCTGCGGGCGCTGGACGCTCAACCTTCCCCCGAAGCCACCAGCTGGGGTCGCCTCGGGCCGAGCCAGTGCATGCAGGGCCGCCTGGAGCTGTGCCGCCGGCTCGAACGCGAGGCCGCCGGACTTGCTCACGAAGGCTAATCAGAACTCCCCGCCGTCCCGGACGTCTACCGCCTCGGCGCGCGAGGGCACTGGCTGGATCCCCGGAATAAGCCCCGACCCTGGAGCCCTGCGGGTCCCTCCTGAGAACTAGTGGCTCATTCCCGCCGCGCGGCCGGAGAGTCACAGCCCCTCCCCCACGAGTATCCGGCCTCCTTCTCACACTTACCCTGCCTGTAGGAGTCCCTAGGGAGTCACTCTTTACTGAGAGCATCTCCGATTCCTGTGATGAGTAAGGGTGACCTTCCCACTTCCTCTCTCCAAAACTCCAGCCAGGGAGCAGTCTGCGTTTTCTCAAGTCCTGGCCGTTAAGATGGGGGAGGGGTGGAGGAGGCAGGAGCTACGTTAGCTCTGGATGAAGGTCCCTCCAGGGAGTTTGGGAGAAAAGCCCCTCGGGGGCCAGGCAGCTCCCTTTCCCATACCGCGGTCCTACCCAGAGAGGAAGGAAGGGAGACCCAGGAAAGAGGCCTTGGTTTTGGGTGGTTAGGACAAAAGGGAGGGGCACAGGAGACTAAGATCCAGAAAGATGAATAAAGGCAAACACGGTAGATAAACTAAGGAATGCAATGTGTTTCTCTGGTGTGGCTGGGATCACCAGGACGCTGCCTGGGGGTTGTCAGGCGACAGTGGGCCCGGACCCTCCTGGTCCACACCCGCATAGCAGCCCTCCCATTCTCACCAGCAGCGCCTCCCAGAGGCAAAGGAGGAGTGGGCAGTCTCTTTGGTCCTTGCTGTGATTCTTCCAGGAGGAGAGGGAAAAACAGAAGCTTAGATAGGTGGCGTGTGCACCATCACACAACCAGCCGGCGGCAGGAGCAGAAATGGGACCTCTGTCTGCCTGGCTCTGGGTCCTGGATCTCTTCTCCCCAAACCACTCTTGACCCTATGTCAGACAGTGGTGAAAAGTCCACTTTCTTGTGCCCTTTGGCCCTGCCTTTCTCCTGTCCCACAAAGGATCACTAAGGCCCACGCAAGTGTGTGAGGGGACTTGGGGCACTCAGTAGGAGGGAGCCCAGGGGGCCCAGGATTCCAGGGCCTAGGTCTAAGGGTCACATCAGAAGCAGGAACACCAGACCGCCCAGGCCCTGGGTGCACTAAGTCAGAGTTTTCCTTCTCAGGGACTCCTAGGGCAAGAGCTGCCTTACCCATGGTGCCTCCCTGAAGGGCCCTTCCCATTCAGGTGTCAGCAGAGGAGGAGGAGAACCAAAGAAGGAGGAGGCAAGGCCACCATCCTAGGCCAAGGCTACTGGCTCCCAGGCCTGGTGTTGGTGGGAGGGAGGGAACAGGGGCGGGAACAGCTGCTGCCTGCTGGGAGCCAAAACGAAAGCACTCTGGGCTGGAACTGGGACGAGACTCAGGACTCCTAGAAGAGGGAGTGCACGGGCTATCCAGCCCTGGGACTCCAGAGGCTGGGGAGGGATTCTGGCCCCTGTCACTCACAGACACGGGGCTGAGTGGGGTCAGGGGTGGGGTGTCTGCCCCCCCTCGGGGGGGCAGAACAGGGCCTCAGGCCTCGGTGCCGCCTGGCCCCTGGAAGATGCCTGTGCCCTGGTTCTTGCTGTCCTTGGCGCTGGGCCGAAGCCCTGTGGTCTTCTCGCTGGAGAGGCTTGTGGAGCCTCAGGACGCTGCCCACTGCTCTCCGGTGAGTCTGGGAACCTGGGAGGATCAGGGAAGGCTCAAGGTTCAGTCTTTGGCCCAGCAAAGCCCCAGCCTGGCTTCTGTCACTGCTGCCACCACCAGAACTGCCCAGGCTGGTCCGTCTGGTACTGATGGGAGCAGAGAGGAGCGGGGAGGAGGGAAAAGCTGGATCTGTCTTCTGGGAGGGGTTTGGAATAAGTAGCCCCAGAAGGAGGTGGTTAAGTGTCTCAGGCAGAGAAAGGGGCTTGGGTTTGAGGGCATAAACTCTGACTCCTTTCTCTCCTTCCCAGGGCCTCTCCTGCCACCTCTGGGGTGAGTATTGAGAAAAGAACTTCTCAAGTTAGCTGAAGGGAGGATAACTATCCCAGTCCCATGCCCTCCCTACCCACCCTTAACCCTGGAAGAGCCAAGCTCCCTGGCCATCTGGAGGTGTCAGGTGCTGCTGAACTCTGGGTTTTGGACAGCTTCGGCTCTCACCTCCCCCTTCACACACAGATGGTGACATGCTTTGCCTGCCTGGAAGCATTGTGCCTGCCCTGGGGCCCGTGCTGGTGCCCACTCACCTGCAGACAGAGCTGGTGCTGAGGTGCCACCAGGAAACTGACTGCGACCTCTGTGTGCGTGTGGCTGTCCACTTGGCTGTGCATGGTGAGTGGGTCATCCTGTGACAATTCGTGTTCACATGTGCTAGTGCCCAGGGCAGGCTTGAGGACTGGAGGGTCTGTCAGGCAGTGCTCAGTGTACTCCTGGAGGACACTTGCTAAAGAACCGCCAGCCAGCTTGGTCTCCCCAGGTCTGTGCCTGGTTTCCAGCACTGGACTTTCTGGAAGGAAGCCAGGGTGAAAGCTACCCCGGAGGAGGGACCTCACCTGGGCCTTGTTCTTGGGTTCTCCTAGGGCACTGGGAAGAGCCTGATGAGGAGGAAAAGTATGGAAGAGCAGCTGACCAAGAACTTGAGACGTCTAGGAATGGTGAGGAGAACCCAGATGGCCCAACTGTTCCTTGTCAGGGGCCTTTCTCAAGGCCCCTGGGCCTGACCAAGCCTGCCCTGTTCTCACAGCCTCTCTCCAGGCCCAAGTCGTGCTCTCCTTCCAGGGTTACCCTACTACACGTTGCGTCCTGCTGGAGGTGCAAGTCCCTGCTGCTCTTGTGCAGCCTGGTCAGTCTGTGGTATGCAAATAATGATAACAACCCCCTCTAAATATGAAATCTATAAAACAATTTTACATGCATTGACTCTTTAGGTCCTAATTCTGATCAGAGCCGCGACAAGTTCGTTCAGGCTTTTATGCCTCAGTTTTTCTGTCTGTAAAATGGGGATAAGAATAATCCAATCTCATATGTTTGACATTGTGAGAAATCACCAAGCAATTTCTCAGAGCGATTCTACTAGTTCATATTCCTGTCAATAGTGTACAGGAGTTTCACTTGGTTTTCATCTATGCCAGTACTTGGTGTTGTAATTTTAAATTTTAGCCATTCTATGTTGTAATGGTAGTATATCATTGTGGTTATAATTTGTACATCGCTGATGATTGATGAAGTTGAGCACTTTTTTACCAGCTTATCGGTTATTTGTGAAATGTCTGCTAACCTGGGCAAAGTGTACCACCAGATTCACGCCTCATCCTGTTGACTATTTAAAAAATAAAAATAGTTCTACCCTATATGGCTGTTGTGAGAATTAAACAACTTGATACTGGAGTGATGCCCAGTGCTAAAGGGTCTCAATAAATTTAATTTTCCCTTTCTTTTGTAATTCTCAAAACTACTCCACAAACTGGACATTACCTGTATTATTACTCTCACTTTCCAGATAGAGAAACTGAGGCTTGGGGAGGGGTGGTCTAGGGGCTGGATACACTTTTCTGGACTCTTAGACTAGGGAAAGAGCCCTGCCACACATGTGTGGTGCAGGATGCTGGGGCTTCTCCCTGCCTCAGGAGGCCACATGTGGTTGGAAGATTTGTTCTCCCACTGGGCCCAAATCACTCAAATCCTCTGACTTCTCAAAGCTTTAACCCCCCAGCCAATATTCTCTTATCTGGAAAATTGTTGACCGGCAGAATGTCTGCTTGTCCCATCTCACAAGGCAATCGTGAGGACCAGGGAGGCACTGGGTATAAGAACATCTCCTTAGCTTTGGCCAGGTGATCCAGGACAGCAGGGATGGGGGCAGGGACTCAAGTTAACCTTACTGGGGATGTTTGCTTTTGAATTGGGACCTTTACAGGAAAAACTGAATGGTAGATTTAGGCTATACAGTATAAATATAGTCACTGGAGATGGGGGGAGGGGAGCAGTGTGGTGCACACAGATGAGCTCACAGGCCTGTACCACGAGCTGTCCCCCACCCCTCTCCTCACAGGGCTCTGTAGTATTTGACTGCTTTGAGGCTGCCCTTGGGGGTGAGGTGCGAATCTGGTCCTACACTCAGCCCAGGTATCAGAAGGAACTCAACCTCACACAACAGCTGCCTGGTAAGTGGCCACAGAGCCCCAGGGGCCCCAAGTCCTGGCCTCACCTAGTCTCTCTCCCCTCTGGCCACTCTGCTGGCTTTCACCCTGTTCCTAGTCCCATCCACTCTCAGGCAGGGGTCTGAGCTCACTTCTCAGAGTCAGTCCCTTGGGTCTTTTCTTCCTGGGTGATGTGGCTTTCCAGCCCCTGGGGAAGGTGCTTTTTGCATTGGATAGATGTGGGTGGTATTTAGGAGACAGTGAGCCCTTCCCAGAGCACCTTGGGGGTGTGATTGCCCCTCTTCTTTCCTTGGCCCCCAGCCCCACTAGAGGCTTTTCTGTGATCTCTCCCCAGACTGCAGGGGGCTCGAAGTCCGGAACAGCATCCACAGCTGCTGGGGTAGGGGATAGGGCCCATGGGCTGGGAGGCGGGAGGGGCAGGGTCTGAAGTGTGAGTGACGCTTGGGTCTGCTTCAGTTCTGGGCTACCACATCCCAGAAGCTTGCAGGGCATATTCATTTATTCATTCATAACACATGAACTGCAGAGTTGCTACTCTGCTAGGCACTGGGGATATAAAGATGACAGTCTTGTGGCATGTAACAAACATGTATTAGTCACAGGGACGTGAGGAGGCCCAAAGCATTGTCAAGATTGTGGTTCCCTCTCCATATATTCAAAATTAAAATTATATTAAACCTGAAATAAGAGCTAAAAAAGTCAAAGTTCTGTTTTTTCCCCATGCACTATTTGCATATGGTTTTTGTTTTGTTTGTTTTATTTTAGTTTTTTGTGAGACAGGGTCTCAAGCTGTCACCCTGGATAGAGTGCCATAGCATCATAGCTCACAACAACTTCAAATTCTTGGGCTTAAGAGATTCTCTTGCCTTAGCCTCCCAAGTAGTTGGGACTACAGGCACCCACCACAATGCCCAGCTATTTTTTTTTGTTGCAGTTGTCAAGTTGTTTTATCTGGCCCCACCACAATGCCCAGCTATTTTTTTTGTTGCAGTTGTCACGTTGTTTTATCTGGCCCGGGCTGGGTTTGCACTCATCAGCCTGGGTGTATGTAGCTGACACCTTACCCACTGAGCTATGGGCGCCGCCTTGTTTTATTTTAGTTTTTAAGACAGGATCTTGCTCTGTCACCTAGGCTAGAGTGCAAGGGAATGATCATAGCTTACAGCAACCTCAAACTCCTGGGCTCAAGTGATCCTCCTGCCTTGGCCTCCTGAGTAGCTTGGGTGACAGGCATGGCCACCAAACCTGCCTAATTTTTCTATTTTTAATTTTTTGGAGAGAGGGGGTCTCACTAGGTGGCTCAGGCTGGTCTCAAACTCCTGGCCTCAAGCTATCTTCCCACTTCAGCCTCCCAACCTGCTAGGATTACAGATGTGAGCCACCATTGCCTGGCCTTTTCTTTTCTTTGTTTATAGTGTATAACACCTTAACACCTTAAGGGGGTAAAGTACACTAATGTTAATGTCTAGTGAGATTAGTTTTTACATATGTATACACTTGCATAACTAGCACCAAGATTAAAATGTAAACACCATGAGGTTTTGTTTTGTTTTTGAGACAGAGTCTGACTATGTCGCCCTCAGTAGAGAGCTGTAGCATCACAGCTCACAGCAACCTTTAACTCTTGGGCTTAAGCAATTCTCTTGCCTCAGCCTCCCAAGTAGCTGGGAACACAGATGCCCACCACAATGCCCAGCTATTTTTTGTTGTGGTTGTCATTTGTTTAGCAGGCCTGGGCTGGGTTCAAACCCGCCAGCCCCTGTGTATGTGGCTGGCGCCGTAACCACTGTGCTACAGACACGGAGCCACACTGTGAGTTTTTTTTAACTATTAAATATTTTTCAACTTCAGTTTCTTTTTGGTTTCATAAAATCAAACATGGCCTGCTTCTTTGGCAATTCACTAAAGACTACTAAGCACCAGAGCTTTGAAAACACAGATAGACCCTTTCCTTTTTTTTTTTTTTTAAGAGACAGAGTCTTACTTTATCACCCTTGGTAGAGTGCCATGGCGTCACAGCTTGGAGCAACCTCCAACTCCTGTGCTTAGTCGATTCTTTTGTCTCAGCCTCCTGAGTAGCTGGGACTACAGGTGCCCGCCACAATGCCCAGCTATTTTTGTTGCAGTTTGGCCAGGGCTAGGTTTGAACCTGCCACCCTAACCACTGAGCCGCAGGTGCCACCCCACACTATACATTTCTTTTTTTTGGCTGGGACTGGGTTTGAACCTGCCACCTCTGGCGTATGGGGCTGGCACCCTACTCCTTTGAGTCACAGGCGCTGCCCCACACTATGCCTCTCATTGTTTCTTTTTTTTTTTTTTTTGAGACGGAGCCTCGAGCTATCTCCCTGGGTAGAGTGCCGTGGCATCACGCTCACAGCAACCTCCAACTCCTGGGCTCAAGTGAGTCTCCTGCCTCCGCCTCCCAAGTAGCTGGGACCACAGGTGCCCGCCATAACGCCTGGCCATTTTTTGGTTGCAGCCATCATTGTTGTTTGGCAGGCCCGGGCTGGGGATTCGAACCCGCCACCTTAGGTGTATGTGGCTGGCGCCTTAGCCGCTTGAGCCACAGGCGCCGAGCCCATCTCATTGTTTCATTCATTTGGTAGATACTCGTTCATTTATCAACAGGTATTTATTAATTACTTTGGACTAGGCATGGCCCTGTACACTGGAGATAAATCAGGGAACAAAGCTGATAAAAATCCCTGTCCTTATGGAGCTGCGAGTTGGGATTGGAGAGAGGGGGAAGCACACCTGAGATACGAAGTACACAATGAGTTAGATGATTGTTAGAGCTAAGGAGAAAATTCAAGGAAGGTTGGAAGTTGCAGTGGTCAGGAATGGCCTCACTGAAAGGCCTTAAGGCGGAGAGGGAGGAGCCGGGTGAGTATCTGAGTTAAGGCTCCAGTGCAGAGAGGGCCTGGGGCCAAGAGTGTGTCAGATGCATTTGAGTAACCACAAGGAGGCCAGTGTGTCTGCAGCAGAGTGATCAAAGACATGAGTTCTAGAAGGAGAGTTTAGAGAAGTCACAGTTCTAAGCAGAGGAAAACTATTTAAAAGAGGTTATAGAATCTGTTAAGGAATTGGGGAGGAGGGATTTCTCTGTTGTTTGTAACACAGAAAGCCAATTACTGAGACAATGAGAATTGTCAAGAAAGGAGATTTATTGCGGAGCATGTGCTAACTGGAAAGTGGGAGGAAAGGACTGTGTCAAATCCACCTCCCTAATCAATGGGGTCAGGTCTTTTCTGGAGGTGAAATGAATAATGCACAAAGTGAGTGAGCATCCTTACATGTTTGGGTGGAGCACAGAGGATGCAACCACAGTGAGAAGCATGTTAGAACATACATCACACTATAAAAAAAAATGGTGGACAAGTCCCTCCCAGGGCAGAGATTTCAGTAGTACAATGAGCCAGTGGGTATTATAGGTCATTTGTTCATCCTTGTGCACAGGTGAGATGCAAGGAATAGGTTGCCTAGTGGGCCCTTAGGCATGATTGTGGTGGGCTGTCACTTATCTTGCCTTCTGTGGATAAACAGGTAGTGTAAGGCCTTGTGGTTATCTGTGGCTGCAAGTAGGTTATGCGGATTCTGGAGGGAAATGCTCAAAAGGTAACAGATCAGTGCAACAGAAAGTTACAAAGTTCTGGTCGGCAAATCTTACTGGTCTGGGAACTTAAGACATAATTACTAGAGGAAGGTATTTTTGCTTATGGAGTCAGTTACAATTTCCCCCTTTGTTTAGTCCTCAATCTTGGGGAATCAGGTGTCTAATGATCTGGCTACTTTTGAAATGAGGTATAGTTGGGGTTTGAGGAATGAAAGTGTTGAGCCTGCTGTTGAAAGTACTCATGAATCATAGGTAAATGATGAATGTCTCTAATACCATTACTTGATCGCTTTTGTCTATAGTTTTGAAAGATTTTTTTTTTTTGAGACAGAGTCTCAAGCTATCCCCCTGGGTAGAGTGCCATGGCATCACAGCTCACAGCAACCTCAAACTCCTGGGCTCAAGCGAGTCTCTTGCCTCAGCCTCCCAAGTAGCTGGGACCACGGGCGCCCGCCACAGCGCCCGGCTATTTTTTGGTTGCAGCCGTCGTTGTTTTGGCAGGCCCAGGCTGGATTCGAACCTGCCACCTTAGGTGTATGTGGCTGGAGCCTTAGCCACTTGAGCCACAGGTGCCAAGCCGAAAGAACATTTTAATCTGCATTTAATTTATATGTTTGTCATGAGATAAATCAAGAAAATATGTACTGCCTGGGCACAGTGGCTCACACCTGTAATCCTAACACTCTGATAGGTCAAAGTAGAAGGATCACTTGAGCTCAGGAGTTTGAGATCATCCTGAGCAAGAGTGAGACCCTATCTTTACAAAAAATAGAAAAAATTAGCCAGGTGTAGTAGTACATGTACCTGTAGTCCCAGCTACTTGGGAGGATGAGCCAGGAGAATCTCTTGAGCCCAGGAATTTGAGGTTGCTGTGAGTTATGGAGAAGATACTGTACTCTAGCCAGGGGAACAGAGTAAGACCCTGTCTCAAAATAAAATAAAATAAAAAATAATAGAATAGAATAGTAAAATAAGCAGTAAAGGGGAAAGGCTAAATTTTAAGATCCCAGAAAGAACAAATACCCTGAGGAATCCAAGAGACCAAAACTCCCATTCTAAGATCATCTCTTTAAACCTAGTTGTCTAATTTTAATCAACATGTATTTTCACATTCCGGGAGGCTGAGGCGGGTGGACTGCTTGAGCTCAGGAGTTTGAGACCCACCCGAACAAGAGTGAGACCCCCATCTTTAAAAATAGCCAGGTGTTGTGGCGGGCACCTGTAGTTCAGCAGATTCTGGGGGGATTTGCTCCCAGCTACTTGGGAGGCTGAGGCAAGAGAACCACTTGAGACCAAGAGTTTGAGGTTGCTGTGAGCTGTGACGCTGCCTCAGGTCCACTGAGTGAGATTATTTCCACTTCTGTGGAGGTAATTATGCAAATGCAGCATGAAGAATTATAATATAAACACCCTCCTTGTTCTGTTATATGAAGTCTGTCAATTAAGTTTGCAAACTCATCCTAGAAAACGTGCTACATATTTCATTGCTGAATATCACTGTGGTCACCAGATGGCCCAGAGGAGTACTTTTCTAAAATGAGTTCACAAACTTAATTGTCTAACCTGTACTCAAGATTGATGTGATTGTTAAGAACCATTTGAGCTTACCGGTGTAGTGGCTCATGCCTATAATCCTAGCACTGTGGGAGGCTGAGGTGGCAGGATTGCTTGAGCTCAGGAGTTCAAGGCTTGTCTGAGCGTGAGTGAGACCTTGACTGATGAAAAACCGCAGCAAGCGCCTGTAATTCCAGTAGACTGAGGCA